AAGACAGCGGATGGTACTACAGTGAAGGCCTTCTGAAGCCAAAGTTAATGACACGAGAAGAAGTGTCAGCGGCGTGTTTACAGTTAGCATACTGTGGGTGCTCCCGAGAAGGCGGATGCTGTGTAAACCGATGCTGCACTTGCGTTAAACTATCTCTTTGCTGTTCCAAGGCATGTAAATGTGGCGACAGGTGCAGAAACGACAGGAACACTGCAGCAGAGGCGAATGAAGCATGCCCTATAACTTTGATAAGGTGGAAGTCACATGGTGGTCTTGTGTAATATAAGATACTTTGCTTATGGTTTATAAGCTTGTATTTCTGGCTTTAACCGTGCGGCCAAGTAGAAGAAAGTTCAGTCTTTTTACATGAAAAATCCTAACTCATGGGAAATGCTACATAGGTTGGAAACGCTATAGAATGACTGAAAATAGAATGATTTCATTACATCACGTGACCCATCATAGCTGATCACCTATTGAATTTTTGTGTTTTTATTGTTGGATCTGTAAATCGAAAAGAGAAACGTCAGTAAGTTGAAAACTATATTAAAGGAAAGTGTGAATAGAAGGTCTTTTATGCTTTAAAATCGATTTTATTGGAAAGTCACGTGACTCTCCATAACTGATCACGTGGCGCATTTTATCTCCCACACTATTGTCTATCGAGCTCTAAACGTCAAGTAGCAAAGATTCAGCTATTTCCCTATCGTATTGTGCACTTTTTATTGGGTTTATATAAATGTTACAGTTCAGCCTCGTTTTCATGCTGCAGGAGCGAGGGCCTAGACAAAAAACTTGCTTAATGACAGATATCATAACATTTGGAGTGGGCAACAGCACAATTCTTAATTAGGATGGCAAGACGAAGAATTTAAGCTATGTTGCCTGCTTCTACTCAAAATGTTTAGCGAAAATCGTTTTTTGGCGAGCTGCCCTCTGACTAGGAGCCGTTAAATAAGTTATTTTGGTCACGCTTCACTATTTTTACCGGACTTTGATGCTTTCGTTTGAAGGCTGCCTAAGGAAACCCAAGCCAATTCTCTGGTATGCTTTAGATGAATGTCTAAATGTGTGAATAAGCGAGGACCGGGAAAATTTGGAGCTATACCACATGAAGAAAAATGCCGCAGAAAACAACTACTAAATTAAAGTTTTTGTCACCGTAAAAACCTGTTCTTCGTTTCTGAATTATGTTAGTTCAACGAGTCTTGATACTGCTTTGATGAGGTAAAACTGAGTACAAATACTAGAAAATGCTGATACCATTCATTAGTCTCTTTTATCAAAATTTCAAACAGTAACTTTTAAACCAGTAAACTGAATCATTGCCTATTACTTTAAATTCTTGCAAACCTGAAAGTACAGTAAATGTTAAACTTGTGACAGCAAACAAACAACAATCACAATAGCTGTCTGAGAAAAGCTACCTATGGAAAACAGGAATTTATCATTTTCAACCAATTCCAAATACATGCACACTATTTCATGATTATACCCTGTAGTCTGTGCCAGAAACCTTAACTTCAAGTTTATACCACAGTCAGTTTTATCGAAACTTCAAACATTAACTGTCAAACCAGCAAAATGAATCTACGACATTGCCTACTGCTTAATTAGTTCTTGCAAATGTAAGCTTTTACAGTAAATATTGCAATGATGACAGCTAACAAAACAATCTATAGCTGTTTGAGAAAGGTTACCTGTCGAAAACAGGAATTCATCCTTTTCAACCAATTCTGAGGAGGCTATTTCAGGATCATACAGCTTGTGGCCTGTGCCCTGGATATCAAGGACCATTAACTTATGGTTTGATTTCTCATAACTAAAGATAGCAAGGCACTGAGCTTTTTCTGACAATGTACTTTTGTCACACACCTTGCCAGTGTTGTTAATGTATTTTACAAAGTTCCCCTCAATGTACTCCTCAACAGTGACATAGCCGTCCTTATCCAGATCTCTCCCAAAGTAAACCTTTCCATACTGCAGTGCTTGGCCAAACTCTAAAAGATCATCTTTCTTTATTTTCTGAGCCAACTGATCGGCAAAATTTTTTGCAAGCATATGCATTTGAACAACCTTCTTCGTATGTACTACAGCTGTCTGACCTGTGTCTTGTATTGCTTTTAGTGCTTCTGGTAAGTATCTTTTCACAACCCATGTTTTGCCAGCAAATGCTTCATTATGACTTGTTGCCCTGTAAGAAAATTTGACCCAAACTCTTTTATCTGGTCTAATTCACCTTTGAATTTCACATTTTCAAAGCCCGACAAATATTTTTGGCAGCTTTCCAATGAAAAATGCCATGGGTGGGAGAGGCAGGTAGACATGATGAAAATTTACCACCCAAGCATTACTTGGAAAAGCTGGAAGATACAAAATAAAAAGGAACTGTATTCTCTTACAATTTTTGACATTATTTTTTATTATCATATTAAAAAAAAGTGGTTACCACTTGAATGTGCAATATGTAAGGGGTGGGGTATTGTTTCCATAACTATGTAAGGGGTCACAACCATTGTGATCAGCGCAAAAACCACCTTTACCCCTTAAGAAAGTAATAATCTATTTAGAACCTCAAATACCCTAAATTCAGCTTAGACAGAGCTTGCCCGAGGCGGGTGATGGCTCGGTACATAAACAAACAAATACCATGATCGCCACCATGTTTTTCTTTTTAATCAGTCGCACCTACCTATATGCTTCTCTGAATCAGCCTTTTGCACAAGCATCCTTACTTATATTAAACTCTATAGTAGCTGCAGTTAAGGACCATCCGAGTGGGTCTAATTCAAAGGACCTCACCTCGATCAAAGTGGTGGCTTTTTTCGCAACAACCTTTCCAAGCTTTAGCATCTCCGATACTGAAAGGCTCTTCGGAAAAACCTTGATCTGCTTAGGTGACCATGTGCTGTCGCTTTCGACAGAGGTGGAACCAATGGGAACACTCGAAGCTGGTCTCCTTTTTCTCTTGGGCGGTTAATAAGGATTGATAAATATGTTGCTTTCGTGGTCTTGTTCGTGTCGCTGAATTAAATTATCAAAAAATCCGAGGAGTCTGGGTACGAGATTGTGAACAAACGCGAGCGACGCACTCCCGCCAAAAGTCTCATTTCTTTATTTTTGAATGGCAGTTCCCGGCCATGAACATATTTATTTTACTTTTTTCTGATTTGAATGGCAGTTCCCGGCCATAAACATATTAATTTAACTTTTTTTTGTTTTGAATGGCAGTTACCGGCCATGAACAAATTAATTTTGCTTTTTTTTGTTTTGAATGGCAGTTCCCGGCCGTGAACAACTTAATTTTACTTTTTTTTTGTTTTAGATGGCAGTTCCCGGCCGTGAACAAACTAATTTTACTTTTTTTTGTTTTGAATGGCAGTTCCCGGCCGTGAACAAATTATTTTTACTTTTGCTTTTATTCACTTTTATTTTTATTTTCATTTCATAATAAAAATATTTTGTTTTGTTTTGAAAATAATAATAAAAAAGAATCTATTTCCAGTTCAATAAAAAACAAAATGTTTTTACATTGTACTTTTACTTTATTTCCAATACAAAATAATTAAAGTTCGATCTAAACTTAACAAATTTATGTGCTTTTGACGAATGGCAGTTATCGGCCACCATACATATGAATGAAAAAAAAAATAAAACTTGAGCCTGCGATCATTTGAAAACTAGTAACTTGTCAGCGGATAACTTCAAAAAATACTTGACCTCGATGGGTCAACACCTGAGCCCGCGATACGGTCAAGTGATACTGGTCAGCGGATACCCTGTTTTGACAGCTGTCAATTGATCAAAACATTGATGTCTAATGGATGTGTGCATTATCAGTTTTCCTGTGCTCTCAAACTAGCTAGAAAGTATGAGATTGAACATTGATCGCGATCTAGTAAAACAATTGGTCAGCGGACATCTTCCAAATAACTCACGTCACCTTGATGAGTTGACATATGAGCCCCCGATATGGCAATGTGATACTGGTCAGTGGCTATCCTGTTTTGACAGCTGTCAATTGACGATATCGTGAATGGCCAATGTAAAAGATGTGGATTTGCTAAGACATGCCTGAGACACCCCTCCCTTCCTTTTGATAGTCTCCCCTACCCTACCCGTACAATCTGTAGACGCGTACGTACGTACGTACGCTCGGTCAGTCACGTGACAACCAAAAGAAACGAGGTTGACCATATTCCATGAGTATGGGGCTCTGTCCCACGCGCGCTTCGCGCGCGAGGGAGCCCCGCTACAATCCGGGAACACAAGAAGTGGAAATCAACAAAGAAAGAGCAGCAGCGTTTCGCAAATCCAAGAAAGACTCGACGCCCTACCTCCGACTCAAGATGCACTGATTCTCCACACAAAGCGGGCAAACTATCAGACCATGGTATGGAATAAAGCGCTGGAACCATGTCCTTCTCTCCCAAAGCCTGAAGACAGCGGATGGTACTACAGTGAAGGCCTTCTGAAGCCAAAGTTAATGACACGAGAAGAAGTGTCAGCGGCGTGTTTACAGTTAGCATACTGTGGGTGCTCCCGAGAAGGCGGATGCTGTGTAAACCGATGCTGCACTTGCGTTAAACTATCTCTTTGCTGTTCCAAGGCATGTAAATGTGGCGACAGGTGCAGAAACGACAGGAGCACTGCAGCAGAGGCGAATGAAGCATGACCTATAACTTTGATAAGGTGAAAGTTATACATGGTGGTCTTGTGTAATATAAGATACTTTGCTTATGGTTTATAAGCTTGTATTTCTGGCTTAAACCGTGCGGCCAAGTAGAAGAAAGTTCAGTCTTTTTACATCAAAAATCCTAACTCATGGGAAATGCTACATAGGTTGGAAAGGCTATAGAATGACTGAAAATAGAATGATTTCATTACATCACGTGACCCATCATAGCTGATCACCTATTGCATTTTTGTGTTTTTATTGTTGGATCTGTAAATCGAAAAGAGAAACGTCAGTAAATTGAAAACTATATTAAAGGAAAGTGCGAATAGAGCGTCTTTGATGCTTTAAAATCGATTTTATTGGAAAGTCACGTGACTCTCCATAACTGATCACGTGGCGCATTTTATCTCCCACACTATTGTCTATCGAGCCCTAAACGTCAAGTAGCAAAGATTCAGCTATTTCCCCATCGTATTGTGCACTTTTTATTGGGTTTATATAAATGTTACAGTTCAGCCTCGTTTTCATGCTGCAGGAGCGAGGGCCTAGACAAAAAACCTGCTTAATGACAGATATCATAACATTTGGAGTGGGCAACAGCACAATTCTTAATTAGGATGGCAAGACGAAGATTTTAAGCTATGTTGCCTGCTTCTACTCAAAATGTTTAGCGAAAATCGTTTTTTGGCGAGCTGCCTCCTGACTAGGAGCCGTTAAATAAGTTATTTTGGTCACACTTCACTATTTTTACCGGACTTTGATGCTTTCGTTTGGAGGCTGCCTAAGGAAACCCAAGCCAATTCTCAGGTATGCTTTAGATGAATGTCTAAATGTGTGAATAAGCGAGGACCGGGGAAATTTGGAGCTATACCACATGAAGAAAAATGCCGCAGAAAACAACTACTAAATTAAAGTTTTTGTCACCGTAAAAACCTGTTCTTCGTTTCTGAATTATGTTAGTTCAACGAGTCTTGATACTGCTTTGAAAGTATCTTCAGTGAAAGAAGAAGAGTTGTTCTATTGATGGAAAGTGTCCAAATTTCTCCTTGCGGTTTTATTTGCGAACGCAAGGAGAGTTGATGTTAGCAAATTTCGGGTTGAAAATACGGCCATTTTAAGACTCCGACCAAAAAAACTGATAATCTTGCTTTCCTCGAAAATAAAAGGCTTTTGGCGTGAACAACTTACATCAGTTTACTTATCTACCTAAAAGTTATTTATGGACAAAAAATGAAGGAAATCGATTTTTCAACTCTTGCCACTCGATGGTCGATATTTCCTGACCGTCGCTCTTAAACTGTCCAATTAAGGCTGAAATCAGGGCAGTTGATAGCCAATCAGATTTGACAATTTTGTTATAGTTACGGTTAGGGCCGTAATGGCAAGGCCGAGGCTAATGATATAAGCCGCTAGACATATGATGTAATTCTTTGCCGTAATATAATATAATGTGAAAAATTAAATTCTCCTGAGAAACGATAAGAATGTCTCCTTTGGCTCGATTTTCCGCATGCCTTTCTTTCATTAAAAATCTGCGGTCCATCTTTTTTTCTTTTTGAGAAAAAAAGGGGAAACCGCCCTCCAGTTTAAATCATGTAATATATGGTCGAAATGTCGTTGCCATGAGGACGAAAATAAGATTTCTACGAGGTGCAATACTGCTACTGCTTCGTCCTCAGTCGCTCGCGGTCACTTTTTGGGGAATATTTGAGTTAATTATTAACGAAAGCGGGGGCACTCGCTGCGCGCGTTCATATCATTCTCCCGCGCTTCTCGCTCTCGCTTGTCTCCAGCTCTCGCGCCTCTCGCTTGTTCTTATTCCCCACTAAGCCCTGGGAAAGCCTGTGGAAGAGGCAGGGGTGCGATAAACGTCTGCTGCATCCAGTGTAAAATTTTTTAGTAAAACCCAACTAGTGGTCTATTACCAATGCTGCATTCTGATTGGTTGAGCTACTAGTAGGCTATATGTTATAGCCCACTAGTAGCGAAAAGCGCAGGCTTTTTGGCGGCAAAAAAGGGTTAAAGTCTAGCTTTAACGAGCTAAAAGTTTTTTATTCTGGATATTTTTGACCAACTAGTTGGATTTTACTAAAACAATTACTCCTCTTGCACTCATGGCCTCTGAAGGTCTACTCTGGGACCTTAACTCGCCGGAATTTTAGGCGACTTAAGGCGATTTAAGGCGACTTTAGGAAAATTTGGCAAAATGTTGCGCGACTTAAGGGGATTTAAGGCGACTTTAGGCACCTTTAGGCGATTTAAGGCGACTTTAGGCGACTTAAGGAGAAAAAGGTGACATTTGGGTGAGTTACATGTTAGTGAATATGTTGCAGTTAATTTTTAATTTCAGTTAATTTTTGGTTTTCCTTTGTTTTAAATTCATTAGCATACATAACCATACCATACCCAGAAACGATGGAAAAATAAAAATTAACAGAAATAAAAATGAACTACAACATATACAAAATCAAAATCTGATAACACTACCTCTCTAGGGACACAATGTTGTAGCATAAGTTAATTCAGTCTTGAAGACGTCTACATTAGTCTTCCAAATTTTCAACAATCTCAGCTACCTAATATTTTGAACATTAAATATCAAGGTAGCTTGTGTTGCAGGTGTATTTAACCCTGGTTAGTAACATTTGTGAAGCAGCTCTAATATCCTTGTTCTGGGCCCTGACGCACTAAATGAATTACCAGCATCTTGAGTTTCCCTTCAACATGATTGGTAAATGGACAATGGCATTTTTAACAGCCCAGTCCTGGCATGTTCTCTAATCCTGATACACACACAGGGGGCCCAGAACTAGGATTTTGCTGCTGTTTTGCAGATGGACTTAACCCGGAGTTTAGTTTCATCTGTGGCACAGGCTAATATCAAGGGTGTTGGTTTAGTATTACATTAGCAGAGACAAAATCTGAGTTAGAAGCAACCAAAAGGGTAAATTTTCTCTTGGTCTTTAAATGCATTATTT